GTGAAAGATCTGAGAGAGGTTAATATTACAGAGTAAGCAGCGGCAAGGAGGTTCATGTCCCAGCCAATTCTCCAAGCCGAAGGGTTGTGTTCCATGACAAACGTCACAGCAACTGCTTGTAGTGTTCCGATGAAGCAAACTAGTGTTGTTAGAGAAAGCTGATGCTTCGCGTATGTCTTTAGTATTTTTGCCTAATCACATCAAACCAAAGAATCAGTGAGCTAACAATTGTAAAAGTTAAACTCTAACTTTTGGCCTAAAACACACAAAAAGAAGCTAAAGTTGAATCCTGAAGTCTAATCATATGTGTTTTACCTGTAGAACAAAGAGTGAGGCCCATGCGAGTGTTGCCAAAATGAGGAGGATGGAGCCTTTGAGAAAATCCTTATCACTCGAGTTATTATACGGCGTCGTTTCGTTAGCATGTGAAGAGTCTTGGAGATGCATATATTTGGTCCAAAACAGCTCAACGATGGGTCCCTTGTAAATTGTCATTAACATGGCTCCGGCCACCGTCACCACCGTTCCGGCTATTTTCGCCTGACACCATAGTTTCTTCACGTCCAACATCTCCATCCTATACTCAAAATTAGTTATTCTCCATAATGAATTACCATTATGAATATAATTTAACATGCTCTAGCCCCCGGGGTACAAAAGACTATTCAAAATCATTAATATATAGTCACAAAAAAATGGTACTTGTGCATCTATTTACGTACCGGAATAGTACGGCTAAGATAAAGGTCATGGCCGGAAGCATGTTACTTATGGCGCACGAGAAAGTGGGGGACGTATATTTCAGCCCTACGTAGTAAAAGTTTTGATCTATCACTGGCCTGTAAATTTATTTATAGGAAAACGAAAATGTTACTCTCTTTTCTTTGCAAAAACAAACATCAAAGAACCATATAGTTATATTGAGATAGTGATTAGATAATAACCCGAGGAGGCCAAGAATGAATAGTTGCACGAAAATGGTGAATGTTATTTTCGGCTGAGCTTTCCTGTAAAATAAAAATTAAAAAATCATTTAGAAGCTATTGATTATTGATGAATTAATTAAGAAATGAAGATAATATGATATGGTCGACCGTCGACCCATGTAGATTATTATGAGCTTAAGGCTCAAAATTTCTTGATCAAAGAAATTTTTTATAACCTTTCGAAGAAGAAAGCAAAGGGGGCAATAACGGCGGCGGCGATTGCATGGCGGTAAACAACAAGGACGTAGTGGCTCATACCGGAGTTGAGGGATATTTTGGTAATTATGTTCATGCCGGCGTAGCCAAACTGGAGAGATACCATGGCGAAGTAGGGTTTAGAGCTTTTGAGGAAGCTTTCACAGCAACTAAGGTTCTCCATAGACATTATGTTTTAATTTGTGATGTGAGTAAAAAATGTTGTAGTGGTCTTATGTATTTATATAGTAAGATGCAACGTAGTTACGGTATAGCTTTCTATTTGTTTAATTTTACTTGGTTAAGACCTCCCCTCTATAGTTATTGGAACTCAAATATACAGGTCGAATCCCCCTTTTTCCCTTTTATAAATTTTTATGAGATTGTGGAACAGCTTTATCAATCTCGACCCGTCTAATAAACGTGAAATGGCGTAAAGTTAACGACTAACCAAAGTGAATTACGGTT